AAAATATAATTCAATGCATTGTAAAATACCGGATGGTAAAACAACAACAAATGTATTTGTTTTGCCATAGGAATTAAGAATTGCACAAGTCACATAGGTATTGCATGGTATTATTATTTAATACACAACATGAAAGGGTTGTATGACTAATATTTTGAACAGCTTGTGTCATTGTCATGGCAACTACTGTGAAACAGAAAAGTAAGATTAAAGCTCAATTAAAAATTAATTAATTAAAAAATAAGTTAGAAAATCAATGTATAGAAGAAAATGTTAATATATGAATTGGGTTATACAAACTATTTAACATTTACTTTAGGTTTTAATGATACATGAAGATACACGTGGATATGGATACACCTGTGTCAGTACAGCAGTCTGTATAGAGGCAGTATTTGTGTGTTTAACGCATTTGATATGCTTTGAACATCTGTAATGTACGATGTCCATTTGTCATTTTGTTGGCAGCTAAGATGACATGACGTTTTGTCCAGGGGCTTAATTTTGTACCTAATGCTGAATGATTTGTGTTCAATATACCGCATGGATTTAGAATACTATGGGTTGGTCCCCAGCTATTCTTCATGCTTTGAACAGAGGGGCTCTGTATGCGTTTCCGGGCTTGTTTACATTACCTACGAGTATTGGGGTCACTTCAGTACATTACAAAAATATGACACTATCTGAAACTGCATCCACGGATGTGACGAAAGGTGTTGTCAACTAAAACTGGGGGACGGGTGATCAGTTGCGAGTGTCCTTGAAAAGAAAATAGTGCTATGCTTGGCATATTGTCCCTTTTCCGATTTGATAGATTGTATTGCACGGTTCATTAATGTTGTAAGAATGGAAATTAACGTTGTTGTGCTTGCATCACGATGACGTCATATGAAAACTGAGGCCCGGTGCGGTTTCTACCTAGGGTTTCCAGTTGCCATCGGAGTGGTACATGTGACCCCCTTTTCTTCTAACTGGCTTTTACACGCGTACAGCTATCTGTATGCAAAACACGATTGCGCTGTTCGAACAGTGATTCTGTGGGTCACTCCTCTTTTTAAACCTGTCAATAACAATGGGAAACTGCACTCATTCGAAGTGAATTTTGTTCTTGGGTGCTCAGCGACCTTGGAAACATTAACCGGTGTGTATGAAACAGACGACAACTTTACATCGGAAAGTTTCTGTAGTGGGTACCAAGCAACGTTGTACCAGTACACAAACCAGGTAAAACTACATTGATTTAGATCGCTATATGACGACAGAAACACGATTAAAGTACCAATTTTCGTCGAAATGTTGTAGAAACGCCGATTGTGTGTACGGGTGTTCGAAAGGGAACTTTTCGTTCCGACTTAGGGAAATATTTTTTTCTGACATCCGGTTTGTCGATGGTCGGTTGGTTAGTAGCTCTCTTCACATGATGTTTGGTGGGAACGTTGAACAAGTCGTTGTCGTGTTTAAAGTTTTTGAAGGCTATACTATAGTGGCAGTGGTCATGTCATCTGCCGTCTTCCAATTTGATCAGGCCCGTACATGTCGTAACATGTCTCTGCGATAGTATCCAGGGCCTCTCTGCCACACGTAGCGCCCCAAACTCTACCTTCACTTTTCTGGCGCCAGATTTCGTCCTATTCAAGGTAATTTCGTCCACTTTGCCGGCGATTCGGCATGAATATAGCATGTGTGTCTGGCATGACAGTGGTGTGACCACACGACGCCTTGGCTACACTGTAACGGGTGTGAGAACACGGGTTCAGCCCATTCGAATATCCGCCTGTTGTCACGTTTAACTTCAGGTTGGTAACACTAGTAGTTTTTAGTGATAGTTTTTTCTTCTTCTATTCCGCTCAGGTAGTCAATTGAGAGGTTGTGTTATGAGAGAAATGCCTGTGTTTTTTTTTTTTTTGTTGGGACGGTGACCTTGGTCGGGCCATCGTGATAAGGGTAGTTTTATACGGCGACTAAAAATGCCGGATAAAATGACATCATTGATAATACTACACTGGACAGGTAGATCGCCAAGGAACACTTATTTCGCGGTGTCTATGTCGTGGCAGCTCTATATATAGAACATCCATTGATTGGTTGCCTCAATTGATGTTTTTGACGATTGCTTTAACTATGGCCCCTTTCGCTGTGGAAGTAGCAGGCGACAATTCTCCAGTGTGTTCATTTTGCACATGTTTATATTTTATTATAATTATTGTGCCTATGTTGGTTATGTTGTTTATGATAAGTACCGAGCATGTTTGTAAATAAATGCGGGTGTATTATGTTGGCGCACGTACAAGGGCGGCTCGCTTTTAGGGTGTAGGTGGTGGCTGGGAACAGTTAGTGTCGGTGATAATATTGCTCTGTACTTACAAAATTGAACTTATCGATGGGCGGGGAGATATATAATAAAGGGCAGAGCTTCAACTCAATGAAAACAAACTGCCTTTTGTCCCATATTACGCAGTAAAACGAAGACGAACTATGGAAGACAGTCGAGTACTGAGAAATTTACGAGTCGAGTGAGCTACCTTGTTGACAAGGCAGTAAAATGGATAAAGATACGACCAGCATATTACGCTCGCCTGCTGCACGGTTTCAGCTAAAACTTGCCTGTCAAATTCGCACGTGAACGTAATTAAAGTAATTACACGATTTTTGGCACCATTCCAAAAGTTTGAATTAAAAAAAAAAGTTTATAAAAGTGGTTAACCACAAGTATTTTTGGGCGTGCTTTCCAAACATACGCATCAACCCACATTATAGTCATGAATTTAGCTTAGCCTTTGCCAAAGATCCAACTTGCCCTCCCCTTTTTAGCCGAGTAAAAGGATTTGTGCTGTAATTTGCATGTGACTGTAAGGAGATCGCCTTCCCATTTCGTTGTCTTTCGGGTCATAGTGTCGTGTCAGCTGTCATCCCTGTGACGAGCGTCCCGCCCCTTCACCAATGGATGCATTGTTTGCGCGTTGTCTATCAACTAAGTTTATTACAGGACCAAGCGATAACGTGACTGCTCACCCGCCATTGGTTTGCGATCCGACAGGTAGCTACGTCATCTTTAACTCTGCCAAAACACGATGATTGACAGCATGTGACCCCGCCCCCGTTGAATTCACTTGGTGTTTTCATTGTCACTCAGGCTGCTAGTCATTTCCCGCGCTTTCTATACCTGGCCATCCTTGCACAGTAGCAAAACACGCTGTTATAATTCCTTCTCCCGTTGTGTTACAGGAGCAATGCCTCCATCGAAGGGTTATTTGGTTATTGCAGTGGTGATATGTCGGGTAGTACTATGTTATAGTGTAGCAATAGACAGAGAGGACACGCGGAATGGCCACGGCGTAGCACCGGAGTTGACGCAAGACCAGTCCATATACAACAGAACCAATAGACCCATTGATACGAGCGATGAAGCGTTCGTACCTTACAGTCCAGGTAACTGCACTGCCTGTTGTTTTCTTTATTTTACCTCCGTTGTTTCAGATTTTATTAATTTTATCCGTGCCGATCAGCGGGCGGTAATTTACGAGTGACTAATCAGAACGTTGGGAAGCCGTTCACACCCTTTGACCATGTACCAAGTAATGTAAACAAAGAAGACGCAACTAAACACTGTGCAATGGCTTTTCTTCTTTTCAAACCATGCAACTGCACGCAGTCGCGATTAGAGCCCGGCTTTTAAACAAGTTTACTTGATTCGCCCACGAGTTTTCAGCGTTACTAATTTTAGAATTGGCATGGACAAGACGTCAGTGATTTGTTGTGACGCATATACGTAGTATTAGACGGTCAATGAGTGTCATCCGCCCACGCTAAAATAAAAAAACACACACTATAATCTCTGCCTGCTCTCTGTCCGTAAAATCACCTGTTTAAAACGGACATTTTTTTTTATTTTTCGTAAACTCACAATTATTCGAAGTAAAATAACATAACACTGTATTACTGTATGCATCTCTACATTGTACTGTTCTGTTGACGCAAGTATAAACTGCATTTTAATACATTTTATCTTTTTCTGTAGACGACTTGCAGGTAGGCTGCACAGAGCTTAGATCCAAACGATATATTTCTGACGGGTTCTGCACGTCTAAAAAACCCATCGCAGAAGTTGTGTGCGCGGGTGAATGTGTCCCGACAAGGATTTTGCCATTTTATTCCGATTACACAAAAGTTTGGGGACGAACAAAAACAAGGGAATGGAGGTGTGTGAATGACGAGGAACGCTACAAGAGAGTACACCTGCAATGTTCAAACGGCAACACGCGGACATACAGAATAAAAACAGTGCGGTCGTGCAAATGTAAAAGGTACTCTGATTCTCATAATGAGACCGATAACTTGAAGAAGCTAGCTAAACGCCAACGACGACGGAACAGAAATCATAACAATAAACCCGACAAGGGAGACTGAGACCTGCTTACATCGTCACTTATTCTACTGCTGTGTACAAAAAACCTAAGCCAGGCTGAGGTTGTAGTCGTGGCGAAAAGGAGCTTGTTATATTCAATCTATGGATTGTATCCATGTGAACATAAGCAACGGTATGCTCGGCAAACTTGTCAGCCTCATGACATTGGATTAAAAAGAGTACTTCTATGACATTGTTGTATGTGCCGTGAGACGCATCAAAAAGAAGTTTTTTCCCCCTTGATGTAATTATTTAAAAAAAAACTACATGCTGTGTTTTGTTGTCCATAGTATAACTATAAACACTTTGAGTAAACTAAATATCCTATGATGGCAAACAACATTTTATATAAGCTAGTGGGTGCATTTTAATATGCTATTTCTTTTTCTACAATTAAGAATAATCAGCAATTTTCTGAAGCAGCAGACAGAGTTAAGTTATAGTCAGATGACTTTATGAGATAGTGTAATATTGGTAACCAACACCATATTGCACACTTGTATAAACAACATATTTGACACACATTTTTTTAAAAATATTTTTCTCTCACCTTTTTTTTAATTTGACGCTACCCCCATCAGTGTACAAACAAAATTCAGATTAAAAATAGAAAAAGGTGAGATGTTTGTAGCTACTGTTTATTTTGTTTAGCCGTGAAATTTAACTGGGCCTTGATTCATCAATAGAAATGTCTTGCTAGAGTAATTCATGACAAAACCTACAATAAGATTACTTTTAATAAAAAAAACGATTGAATATAAACTATTTTGAGTTGCCTAAAATGTTAAAGCAAGTAGTATCAGACTAGTAATATTCCAGAGACTTTGAGCTCAAAATGTTTTGTCTGAATGTGTATTGGACATGAACGTTACTTGGCCAGTCGTTATGAGGAGTATGATTTCTTCCAATACTCAATACTACAGATCAGATCAGTGCAACACAAAGCTAACTGAATCTTGTTAGGTGCTACCGTTAAAATACAAACATTTTAAGTGCACTCATAATCTCAAAGAATCTTAATATATATATATTATACATATATATATCTTTTTTTTGTTTTAATTTCTGTAACACGTACAGTCATAAACATTGTTTGTATGGTTATCACTGTTTAGTCCTTATATATGATCATTTGTATATAAATTGTATATACTTGCCTGGCAAGAGTCCTAGTTAGAAAAAGAGAATAAGAAGGGGTAACCATATTTTATTCCCTTATTGCAGTATTTATTATTTACATTCATCATTAACTTCATGGCTTTTGTAGTGCTTTTTTAAAACAGAAAAAGAGAGAACTTCATTGGTAAAATCGTTTACATATGAAAGGAACGTTGACAGTTGTTGTCATCCATGAGACTGCGCAGTAGCGACAATGACGTAATGTCAAGTCATACAGTTTCTGCAGATTTATATATATATTTTTCCAATATTTTTGCTGTACAACATTTATGGATTATAAAAGTGTTTGAAATTACCGCCAGTTGAAGGGCGGTTGGTAAAAAAAGTATCCGCCGTCACATGAGATAACTCAGATGAAACGTGATCACACGAAACCCCCACATCGATGGCAGTAACCCTCGTATGACTGGGCTGGCTTTCTTGTAGTATGCCATGATCGTATCACCAACGCACTTTTGTTCGCCGACTGCAAAATGTGACTAGCAGTTGTGGCGCCTTGATGTCCAAGATTCACGCTGTCAACAGCTGCCCCGCCCTTCAAGTTGCTTCCCTTGACACGACAAATAAATGAAGTATTATTATTTTTGTAAAAATTGGGTAATTTTAGCCAATTTCCTTTAGCCTTAATTGGTAATCCATGGCCCGTTTAGTAATATATTATAGGTGGTGATTGTTTCAGCTCGTATTTGGTGCCTATAAGAAGCGCCTTGTTTGTCTGTGCAGCATTATTTGTCTTTGCCACTTAGCACGGATAAAATAAAAGAGTCGACAGTTCTACAACTCGTTTTGTTTCGCTCCGTTATTGTCCATGTTCCTTTCAGAGCGTTCTCTTCGAATCCTACCGAGACTTCGTTTCCCTTTTAAGCCCTTGCCCCGAAATGTGTTTGCAAAAAGTCGCAGTGACCTGCAAGACGAGGGGTTAACAAAGTGTCGGCTCAAATTCCCGTTCTTTTAAAACGTAATTCAACTTTCTGTAATGAAGAGTACGCTGACTGTCCCCATCGACCCCGGAGCTTTCATATAATTTGCCATCCATATCGTCTCAATAATCTTTCCAAAATGCTCAATTTCTCCAGAACGTGGACCGTCAACAACATTACATGCGAGCAATCGATGCAGGTTTCAAATTTAGGTCACTGCTTGCTAAAAATTGACACATTTATGCAAATTAGCCTAGCCGAATCTGCACAGTTGTTTGCTTAGTACACTAACAGAGTTGACTCGGTGCAGGTAAGCATATACTATTTATTTCAAACATTATATAAAGATATTTTTTCAATATATGGCTGTTATGGTATACAGCTCGTCTAGCGAATATATAGTGAATACTCGACACCCATGTTTTCTATGCGCGATTCTTGCCTGACATCCAGCGACCCGACCATGTGCATAATACCAAGCACACAGACCGGATTATATATACTTAGTAAATTCAATATTTACACATAGCTTAACGAGATTAGCAGCCTGGGAAGTAACAATTAAGTGCTCATTAATGGTATTAATTGTAACTGTTAATTACACGCGCCATATGTGTACACAAAGTCCGTGAGCAAGATTGAAAAGTTTAGCCATAACGAAACGATTCGAAATAAGGGCGTTTCATTATTTTACAAAATAAATGGGTCATGCAAATGTGCTACAATTCTGAACCTAGTTTTAGGCACGTGTTCATTTTAATTTAAGCGCCCCTGGACTCTCGCACAATAGGCGCACAACTACCGAGTCTCCATGCCATAAATTGGAATAATAAACATATCTAATTCAATGTTCAATTGTTATTGAAATTCTATGCATATTTTTGAAAAATTGTTTCTTATTCTATGTCTCACTATATTACCGGAATATGTCTACTATATGGAATAGTTGATGTCAAATAGCCAGTTTACGACCTGTCTGTCCCAGTCTGTGTGGTAGTAGGAATTCGAACTTACAGAACTTACCTACTGTATTCGGATAGCTATATACACCAGGTTGAACTGGGGGTGAAAGTCTTGTTCCATTCTACACATGTGGACTTACAACCAAGCTGATATCTCCACATTCACCAAACCTGCGCTATTTTGAAACGTTTTTTATGCTATTTTTCAACGCGGTTTGTTTTCAGTTCTTTGTATTGTCCAAAAATCTATATGCTTAAGTCGTTCAGGTAACCACACAATCGTCCACCACACCGGCCATATTGTATTTATTTTTCTCTCCTTTTGACACTGACGTGCACATAGTGGACGTGAAATCACGGAAGTTGTTGACCCCGTCGCTCGATACTCTGTACACCTCCTAAATTTTAGACTATGTCATATATGTTATCATATCCAATGCCAGTCCAGGTGTAAATTCCAGGAGAAGTCTGCGGCGTTGTCTTTGTCTACAAGTGGTCACACTTAGAGTTGAAATCCAACATGGCAGAACCAGTATATATAGTCCATGTGGTCGTTGGAACCAGCAACACTACGCACGTTCACCGTGATAATACCGCCGATATTTTTTATTTATCCGTCCATACATTCAGACGCCGTTATTAATTCTAGGTTCCGGCGACTTGCTCTGACACGCACATTATAGCAGTGTTTTTGTGGTCACATGATTTGGTGGAGTCAATGGAAGTTAGAGCCCTCCTCCCCGATCTACCGTTGACAAAAAATAAAATCGAGAGAAAAAATAGCGAAAAATAACACATCAATGGCGACCCGTTAAATCTACACAAGGAATTTCCTAGGTACTGCTGTTGAAAATGTTTAATTTACTTATTTAAAAAATCAGTTTTAATAACCATATATAACAAAATAATCAAATCAATTAAGTATTTTAATTAAATATAATAATTAATTTTACAAGATTCAAGTGGCATCGGTTAATAGGGGGCAAATCTGTGTTGCCGAAGTCAGCGTAGTATATCACTGACAACATCCTCATGGGATTCATCATTTTATTACAATTTATGAAAAAATCGCCAAAGAATTCTTAGCATACTTGTTACGTTTCGTCATTTGTTAACTTGCTAAAGCCTTTATTATGCTAATTAGCAATGTGACTGGACACGGGACGCCTTCTGTTGCGATTGGTGGAGTGTTCAAGCACGCTTTCTCATTCAACTGCAGTTCAATGCAGAGACAACAGAGAAATAAAGGCCACTCCGAAATGACGTAAAGCTTGTGTTTATCGAAGCACTCTCAGTATTTCATTAAAATACCGCGCTGGCAGACTGAAGAAAACAACTTTGAGTGTGGGACAATCTGGTCTTTTATAAGCCTGTAAACCGACTAGAGTGGCCACTATGATGCCATTGACATGGCCAAATAGTACACGTCAAACCGGTGACGACGTCACACCGATAGCTGATAAACAACCTGTTTATGGAGAAATTAGCAACACAACATGTGAAAAACAACAACAGCAATAATAAACCACGTTCTACGAAGAAGATGTCAGCGACAACACTCGAGCATGTAATTTATTGTTTATGTCGTTACAAGGATCCGATCAGACCGCTGGCAAACATTATATATTAATTCAATATTTTTGCTCCTGTCATATCCAAGTTCAGTAATTATATAGGACAATTACAAGAGCACTATTATTGTTAAAATTAATTGATATCTTGAGTTAATTAAAACCCATTAATGTGATAATAATGTGTGATTGACTTTTTCGTATGCATATTAATTTGTGTAGTTTGCATAATAATGATCCCATAAAATAGATTTAAATAAAAGGGCCTTTTAATCCATGTAATATCGTGACAACGTAACCTTTATGATGTCAAATGAATACTAATGGGGGTCAAATGTCAGGATGAACACCGCCAAGCACATTGATTATATTTTATTTAAATAGCATATTTGCATGCCATAATTACTTTGGTTCATGTTCGCTATACAAAAAATCGGCAGTCGATCTAGGCATAGTTCCAGATGTCACTAATGGAATTTTAGTACCACCATATCTGGGAATGTCGTACTCATACCACCATATCTGGCAATGTAGTACTCATACCACCACATCTAGGAATGTAGTACCAATACCACCATATCTGTGAATGTAGTACTCATACCACCACATCTGGGAATGTAGTACCAATATTACCATATCTAGGAATGTCGTACTCATACCACCATATCTGGCAATGTAGTACCCATGTCACCATATCTGGGAATGTAGTACCAATACTACCATATCTAGGAATGTCGTACTCATACCACCATATCTGGCAATGTAGTACCCATGTCACCATATCTGGGAATGTAGCACATACTACATATC